ATTTTTAAGATTATTAAAAATTATAATCTATATTTTATCTCAATTTAGACATAAATAGTAGAGCTACAGCTACCAGTGAGTATAATTAATTTCGTGGTTTATAAGCGTAAAGTTCTCCAGGAATTGTTGCAAATTCCCTATGTAGTAATTTGCATTAGTATTTCAAGTTAGCTTGAAAAAAAAAAGGAAAAAAAAAGTATATGGAAAGGTGTTTTTTTCATCAAGATATAGAATAATCTGTATTCCATAAGTTTTATCTACATGTAAAATACTATTCTTACTGCTTTGACTGTGAAAATATATACAAAAATAAAATAAAAATAGGCATTGTAAACTCTCTTGCATCTGATTAACAACTCTGAGGAAATCTACCAACTTTCCAAGGCTAAGAACATGGTTTGGTTTCTCCAGGGGAGTAAATCTGCACAGCTCTACTAAATTTAACAGAATTCCTTTGGTTTTCAGTTGTTTTTGGAGGATGGCCAAATTCTGGCAGATAACCTGATTAGTGTAGATGTTCCTGCCTGTAAAACTTTTCACATTTTAAATATATAGATAGCTTGAGGTTGGAATAAAACTAATATAGCTTCACATAATTACACAATCTGCCACAGCTAATTTATATACCATAGCATTTTAATCAAATGTCTGGCAAATGGTTCATTTAACTCTTCAAAATGTGGAAGAAACTACTATAAAACTTACCACTTGTGACCTTTTATTTAACAATGTCTAATGTCCCTTCTCCTATAGATTATTCAATTTAGTGATTTACCTGTTTGGAAAATATTGTTTATTTAAGGAAAAGGAACTAAAATAAAGCATTTTTTTTATTTCAAGATTGGCTAATCTTTACTATTTCCTCTTGGGCAGTGTATTGAGCAGTAAGGAAGAAATAAGGGGCTGCATGCAGCTCTCACCACAGCACAGTTAATACTGAAATGTTTCTTAGGGCTCCCAGATTAAAAGGAGCAGGGGGGGAATCCAAGTACTATTCACCAAAACTCATTTTAAAAACAATTTTAGCTGGTTTTGTTCACAGCTGCAGAGAGGACATCATGCATTGCTGAGGCCCCTTTGATACGCCTTTATTTGACCAAGGCTCATGTGCTTATTCTCTTGATTTCCAATTCAAGAGGGTGCTTCAGCTTGTGCTTTTCTTCATAGAACATAAATAGATGTCAGTTTAAATGTGTGTATGAGCTGACTGTAATAAGGATCTTGAAGCAGCATTTAGCTGTGCAGTGTTTTAAAGATGAAATATGGTAAATTAGAAGTAAAATAGGTGATCAGAGATTTAGATATGTAAAATGGACAAGAGCATCCTAATTCACCAGATTTTTGACATTGTTTCTCACAGAATCATCATAGAGAAATTGATGAAGTGCAGAGTAGATGAGTAGGCAGGGAGGTAGATAGAAAACTGGCTCAGCTGCTGGGCAGAAAGGATTGTGATCAGTAGCACGAAGTCCAGCTGGAGGCCAGTCAGTAGTGTTATACCTCAGGGGCCAACATTGGTTTGCAAGTGATACAAAAAAAGCTCGGAAGAGTGGTTAATATACTAGGTGGTTGTGCTGCCATTTGAGGGACTTGAGAGGCTGGAAAAATGAACTGACACTAATCTCATGAAGATCATAAAAGGGAATTGCCAAGTCCTGCCTTAAGGGATAACCCGAGGTACTAGTACATGATAAGAACTGACTGGCTGGAAAGCAGCTCAGCACAGAATGTCCAGGGGCTCCTGGTGGTCACCAAGTTGATCATGAGCCAGCAATGTGCCCTTGCAGCAAAGATGGCCAACTCATGGGCTGTATTAGGGAGAGCACTGCCAGCAGGTTGAGGGAGGTGACACTTCTCCTCTGCTCAGCACTGGTGAGATGATATATCTGGAGCTCTGTGCCCAGTTCTGGGTTTCCCCAGTACAAGAGAGACATGGACATATTGGAGCACACTGATGGAGGAGTGAAGAAAACAGATCCAAACTCAGTGGCACACAGTGACAGGACAGCACAAACAGGAGGTTCCCTCTGAACATAAGAAAAACCCCACTTTTTCTGTGAGGGTGGCACAGCTTGCCCAGAGAGGCTGAGGATCCTCCATCCTTGGAGACATTCAGAGTACACTTGGACACTGTTCTGGGCCAAGTGTTCTCACAGACCCTGCTTGAGCAGGAGGATTGAAGTAGCCGGTCTCCAGAGGTGCTTACGAGTCTCAACTATCCTACGATTTTGTGATTTCATGAAGAAGGTGAAATGCATAAGAACGTATTTTCATTTCATTTCATTACACATGCTCAGTGGTCTGTTAATAACGTGGGAAAGTTTATTCACTTTTGTGATTAAACTTCCGAAAAAATGTCTTCGCATATTTTCTTAAGCTTCTGGACTATATTATCTAACACTCTGGAAAGAGCCACAATTTGGAGACTTAATTGTGTTTATGGGGAGGAGAGAGGTAAAATAAGTGTTCTGTTCCTTAAAAACATAAATACAATTTTCAAAGTTAAAATTACAGGTCCATAGAAAGGTCTTAAGTTGGTAGAGGTATCTGGAGATCATCTGGTTCAACCTTCTTGTGCAAGGGCTGTAGATTATGTTATCCAGGAACTTATGAAGCTGAAATAGCAAGAGAAATTGCACCATTTCTCTGGATACCTATTCTATAGTGAAGCATATTTTCCTTGTATCCAGATGAAACTTCCCCTGAAGCAACTTGTGCCCCGGGTCTCTTGTCCTGTCACCAAGCATGGTGGTGAAGAGAGCACCTTCGTATTTTCTCTAGCTATTTTTTAGGTATTTGAAGACAGGGATCTCCCTGAGCCTTCTCTTCTGTGGGTTACATAAGCACATTCCTGTTTTTACCTCTCATTGTATATCAGATTCTCCAGTCTTCTCACTGTCTTGGTGGCCCTTCACTGGACCATCCATAATATTTCTCTCTTGAACTGAGGGAAATTTACTCTCTGTAGCCTAGATGATAGATGTGTTTCTTCTGGCAAGATTTAGCAGCACAGTAGGATTTTTCCAGAACTCTCTGAGGAACTCTCATACAATATTACAGGTATCAAAATAGGCTTCCTAAAATCTAAAGAGAAATAAATCTATTTTTTATTGGATAATTTTTCAAAGTAGTACAGAAAGGAGTTAGTCACAAAGGTAATGTAAAGGATAACAGGTTTGAACCTATTCTGGCTGGAGACAAGGGGTATTCTGCCATTAACTTTAATGGAAGGAGGGAGGGAATGACGGACAATTTTATAGATGTGCTGAACTGGGACTTTGCATAGTTGGACTAAGAATATCACTCAACCTCCTGTGAAACACAGAGAGCCCTGGGACAGCCGAGACTGAAAAATAAACTCTGCTAAAGGCTTTTGCAGAAGCCCCCAGGAGAACAGATCTTTTTCCTGCCAGTATGCAACTTTCTAGCTGAGAGGCTACTTGCCTACAAGAACTGGTCTTTGTTGGAAGACACTGCAACTATCCACAGCAAATACTGGCCTCATTGTGTAAGATTTGCCTGCATCCCTCCCTTGATGCCATTTTTTTGAAAGCTGAAACTTGCTGAAATAATTCTCACTGTAAGTTTCTGTACCAATTTTTTATAGGACAACTTGAAAGATGACAAAAAAATAAATATAAGCCTGTCTATTAATCAGTACTCTTAACAAGAATTCTCTTCCTCTTCAGGAAAATGGAGTGACTAGCTGGGACATTGTATTCCCTGTTCTAGGTTTGTCAAGATGCAGAGAATATTAACGCCTTATCTGTGTCTTCTGCTAAATAAGGAACTGATAAGTACTGACCCTCGGCCCTGGGGCCAGTGGTTTCCCACTGCAGAAGAGATTATCTTGGGAACACTTGGCAGAACAGAGCCAAGAAGTGTCCTCACAAGCATGGTGGATGATTTTTTTTGTGCCTGGATTTCTTACCTGGGCCTCTTTTATTTACAATATAGATGTGTTCCTTGAATTTAAACCCACTCCTCAAAATTCATATTTTTCTGTAGCAGTAGGAAAAAAAAGGATGGGAGTGTCATCTGTTGAGTGTTAGATTAATGACAGAGCTTGGCTCAATCATTATAGGTTCCAAGAAAGGCATTAAAACTCAGTAGTGATATCTTCTATCAGAAGGAAATCTGGTGTTGGTTTATAGAAGGAAAGTGAAGAGTCTTTCTTGAGGAATAGTTGCTTGTCCTGTTTATGTGTGAAATCATTCGGTGTACCTGCAAAAACTGACTAGACATTTGAAATCTCGCTGGGGCTAACAAGGAATGAAACTGAGGGGGCTTCTCAGACCCTAGACATGGCTTGACTGGTGTTTTTTAGATACTGTGGTGTGGCTAAGACTGTAAATAATATCATTCCTGTGTTGATGGTCACAAGTAAGTGCCCCCAAGGTGAAGGCATAGGTACAGAGAGAGAATGGTGGCTGCAAAGTGATTTTTTATGATGTGCCGTGCAAACTGGTGTTTTTCCTTTGCAAACTCTAAGTTCTTGTGAAGTGCATCAAAATCTCAGTTTCCACTGAGAAGAAAACATTAGTTGTGTTAGAAAGATCAGCTTGAAAACATGTGCCCTGACATTCAAGAACCAGAAGTCTCTTAAATACCTTGATTTAGGAATGATGGGGTAGTCCCTGATTTTAAATGAGAAGTGTCAGTGGTAGAAAGAGTATTTCTGTACTGTTGTATTCTCAGTTGGTATCATTGTTGAGTAATGCTTAGTGAAGTGTCTGTTCTAAATTACACTGACCGACAAGCCCATCCCAACCTCCTCCGTGACCAGAAGAAAGGGTTAAGACTGAGTGGAGACTAGCCATTCTCCTCTTCCTGACCTGTACTCTGATGCTAGACTTGATTTTGAAAGGGTATAGCTGCTGGTATGGCTGCTCAGGAATGACCTATTTACACCAGGTTCTGTCTTAACAACTGTACTTTGAATGCATTTTGATATTTTCTTGTTACTCAGAAGTGGTCCTTAATATATTTAATATTTTTAGTGCCCTACAGATACCAAAGCAACGTTTGGGGTCCACCTTAAAGTAGTAGGAGACTGGACAGGTATGTAGAAAAAAAATTCCTTTTCAGAGACAAATACCTTTACTGGAACTGTTATCCCTTTCTGGCTTCAGCACGATTATAACTTGATTGTGGTGTATTCTTACTAGAGAGCATTCATGCTTGTTTTCCCAAAGTTGTTTTTATTTCATTCTTGATGCAACCCCTGCTTTTTTCAGATGCACATTTCTTCAGATAGCATGTTTTTCCAACTACTAACAGATCTTCTGATTGCAATGTAATAATTTTCAATGTTCCTCCATTTCTGCCTCTTATTCTTATTTTTCAGTAGTCTGCTTTCCCTGTGCAATGCAGTGTCTCTGTGCATAGTAGTGTCTGCAGAAATGCTGAAACATGCAGCTCTCAGATAAGCAGATTTTGATGCCAGCAGTTTGGATGGCTGCCAGGTTAATTAATGCCTATGGTACACTGAGATTACAGGTTTCTTTCATGTTCTTCCATGCTCCTCCATTGCTCTCTAAATGTCCTCCAGACCAGGGGTGTAAGCCAGGATTCCCCACAGAGGAGAATGGTAATTTGCTGCTCCCTGTGACAGTTTTATGCTCAAGTGATAGTTGTCATTATTCCTTGTGGCTGACTTTCTTCTTGCTTAGCATAGCATTCCCTTGTAAGGAAGACAAATATACAACACCATCTTGTTCATTTCTTATGAAGAAATGTTTTCCATGTTAATTTATATTGGCTTGTGTGTTTGTGGAACTGAGTCAAATGAGCTTGTCTCCCTAAAATGGATTAGACCAATTCAGGGAGAATAAGTCCATGAATATCTGTTGAACTTGTTGGTCCAACTGCATACTTGGCTGTGAAAGTGGCTGAAACTTTAATAGGTAAAGGTTGGGAGGGCAATGCCATATGCACATATGCTCCATAATCACCCTGATTTTTTTGTTCTTGCTTGAAGTCTAGAATGTTGGCCAGACAGACAAATTAGGGGCCTAATTAGCCTCTGGTCTGCTCCAGTATGATGGCTGTTTTGTGGTTAAGCATCATTCCTACCTGGGAGAGGACAGTAGGCTACTGGGGCAAGTGGGGTGGAGAAGTACTAGCTAAATGAGTTTTCCAAAAGAAATGGCATCTTTGAAGTTTTCTAATTGCCTCTGTGGCATGAATTGCTCTCTATTAGAATTTGAATGTTATTCTCCCAACTCAGTATCTATATTCTCCATTGAGAGGCAGGTCTGCCTAAGTAGGACTGTATGAGATTCAGGACACTGTCACATTACAGAGACCATTTGTTGTATTAGTTTTGCTAAACAGGGATATCTCTCCCGGGGGTCAAATATGCTGTCAAGAAGCAGGCAGTTTACCCAACCCTTTATGCCTCATCTGTACCATGAAGCCCTGTGACAATCAATAGTCTCTAATCCGCTGACTGTTTGAGGAAGGATTATTATATTTGCCACGTTCTTTATAATCTTTCTTAAGCATGCTCTAATGGCCGCTTCTGCAGACAGAATATTGGGCTGGAGGAGTTTTTATGTGACATACTGTCATCTGAGCACTTCTCACAACCTATTCCCTCAGCCTTCCTCATATTTATTCAAATTCTCTTTTGTATCACATTTTAACATTCCTGACAGTTATGCCTGACACTAAAGATACTTAACAATTTATTTCAGAGGACTCAATTACAAGCCTAAATTAAAAGGATGCAACAAGAGTACAGATGTGTTGTGAAATGCAGAGAAGAACTGGTTAGTTTGAGACATGTCTCCATTTGCTGGCTTCAGCTTCTGCTGCCTGCACCTGGGAGATGTGGTAAAGGAACAATTTCCTGCCATTAGCTATAAAGACTTGCAGGGGGATACACACTGCTGGCAAACCAATTTTGCAAGTTATGTTTTGGGTCAAGTCTCTGACACTGAGTCTTATGTTTTGAAAATTTAATAGAATACCTCATGGCCTTACTGCCTTTGCTTTGTAGGTTGGGAAAGCAACTGCATGTCAAGGGAAAAGATAAGGGATAATAGAATTGTCAACTCCTGATGAGAAGTTGCTGTTAATGGAAAGTCTTTCATTGCCCATATCCCAGTGCATATCATTTTAGATATCCAGTAGAAGTTGCCGCAAGAAGTGGCTTCTGAAAAAGGCAGTCACTCTAGAAATAATTTTTTGCATAGGAGCGGATATTTTGTAGAATTTATTTTTCATTTAGTACATTTTCTTTTTCTTTAGTAGATTTGCTTTTTAAAGCAATGATTTGAATAATGAAAAATGTAAGACAGAAAAAGTAGGGAAGAGAAGAAGAAACCTCAGAAATGGTAGCTCTGAGACGTTTGCAAACCAAACAGTAATCCAGACCCCCAAGTGATGTATTTCTTGCTCCATTGAAATCAAATGGTGTTATTTGACCTTAGAAGAGCTGAGAACTTGCCCTTTTCAGAATCAGGTTTGGACAAAGGCACAACATTCCCTGCCATTATATAGGCAGTGGCATCCTTTATATAAATTTCCAATATAAATCTGAGCTCTTTAATTTCTCATCTGTATTATGGTCATATTAGTAACTGTATTGTGCTTAGCTTTCATGTTCATCACAGAAAACAGAAGCACACAGGCACTGGTATTGCTGTAATGTGCCCTCAGGTGCCTGTGTAGAAGATACTTTCCCCTGAAATACTTCCCATGGGTCCCTTTGTAGACCTCTGACCTGTTTATGTGTCCAGTTTAGGATGAGATGAGCCAGGCCACAAGCATGCCTTTTTCTCTTCATCCATTGTAAAGAGAGTCTAGATACATACATCACTACCTCAGAGGGAGGCAGTTTAGTTAATTGACAATTAGTTGTGATTTTTCCTAGGTAGAGGTTCCTAACATGTTTTTTTCCATCTTTTGCCATGTGAACTGCTGGGTGTTGTGAATAGTGGAACAGCTATTATAGGCCTGTGTATGGAATGGTTTTGTGATAATGTACTTACTATCCTTGTGCTGACATGTGACTCCTTAAGTCAGCACTTATTGTATTAACAAAACATTTTGTTGTATTGTGGTGGCTCATACTATTAATGCAATTATTTTGCATATTACAGAGATTAAATCTATGGCTGTAGACCACAGCTTAGTTAGCCTGTCAGGACTTAGATAGACTCATGTTACGATGGGTTGACAGTGGCTGATCTGTGATAATTGCAGACGTGAAGCCCTGCAGTTTGGATTGGCCCTGTGGTTCAGAGCTAAGTCAGCATGTCTTCCTCTGTGGCTGCCTGCCAGTTATTGCAGCTGAGCTGGTGGATGGCAACTTTAAACCCTACAGTAACACTGAAGTCCTGCTTGTGCATGGATCAGAGCTGGGAGATCATGGATTAGCTAATAAGATGATCTTGTTACTAGCCTCCCTTCTAAACACTTGTTTTGTTCTGCTTCTCCCATATCTCTGTGGTCAGCTATTTCTCCTTCAGCTTTGAAAAAAATTGTTGGCTTAGTATTTACAAAAGGACGTTCTGAAAGTTTTTTTTTGTCCCACTTACTGTGTAGTTTGTCCTCAGTGTTGTCATCTATCAGCCTTATGCTTCCTCTGTCCTTGCTGCTGCCTCAGGTACTACTGCTTGTTTAGTTTTAAAGCTGGCATTTTGTCTGGTACCTCCAGAGGGAAAAAGGGAGGCCACAGGCCATGCCTTGCATCCAACCGCTTGACAGCAGTGAAAAAAAACATGGCAGTGTATCAAGGCAATGTGTGTCTCATTCACTAGACAAACTTCAGGGTGCGAGACAGAAAGTGATATTGATGATGCTGAAATAACAGACTTCTGAAGCCATGCAGCATGTTTTTGTGGAAAACAAATACACAGCACTCAGAGGTGTTAAGGTGAACTGCATGCCTTAAGGCAATAAAACATTCCTGTTATGTTGCAGTGTGTTGCTGGTGCAAATTGATGTAGGACTGTGTTTAAAACACTGCTGCTGTTCTGCACCCTACAATAATTTTTATCTTGTAGTGACATCATTCTGCTCTGTAGTTTTATATGATCCTAGAGATGTTCGCAAGGCCTGTCCATAATTCTGAGCAGCGTGGTATTTATTGTGGGGATGCTATAAGAGCACTTTAATACCACCCACTGAATATGAGACTTCTGTCCTTTGGGTTACTAAGTATCATGGCAGCAGGAGGTATTAATGTGTGCGGAAATTCTCTAGCTAGAGCCAGAACAGACCAATCATGGGGTACTCATCTGCATCATCCTAGTAAACTCCAGGTGTCCTCAGAAAATACGTATCTTTAATTCTTCCTACTAGAGATGATGATATACATGGTCACTAAGTCATTTAGGTACTGGCTACCTTATTTTGAATCTAATGTGGTATGATGTGATTTTTTTGTCAGATATTGTCATAGTTGTTTGTCTGGAAGGTCCAGATTTGGAGCAGGAAGTTTCAGGAGAAAAGGATTTTTAAGTTAAAAATGACAGTTTTCCAGAACATGGCAAATGTGTGAAAGCATGGATCTTGTTTAGCTCCCTATGGACTAAAACCTGAGAGAGCAAAGAGTACGCACCCTAAATGTCTTACTTTTAAACAAACATAAATTTTAAGGCAGTTATTTGAGATTTTGGCGGCTGACTAGGGATTTTTTGCATGCTCACTAGAAGAAAATAAACATAATTTTTGTGTGACTCTGAAGGAAGAATGATCTATACTTGCTGGACTGGGAGGGTTTGTCAGATTGTTCAGGAGTATCTATGTGACCTTGTTAAGCCCTTGCAGCTCCCAGTTTAGAGAATGTCTGAAGCATTCCAAGGCTCACTGTGCGTTGCTGTGCTTAGCTGGAATTTATCAGCAAATGTAAGAGTTAGCAAAGAAGCAATATTTTATTTTCAGTAACTCCAGGGATAGTTTTTGAGATATTGAAGTAGTGGATCAGTCAGTATCTACTATATTCTTAGCAGATCTTGATTCAGACTGGAGGAATGTGTGAAGCAGATGATGACAGGAAGGAATAATAAGACTACCAAGTCTGCCCGCAGGATGTGACAAGGTTGTCCCAG